TCCCCAAAATGCACCTCCTTGACCCACTGGTTGTCCACATCCTCTTGAATTCGGGGCAAGGTCGCCCACCTGCCGGGTTCCACTTCCAGTTCTGAACCTTCACTGTCGGTATCCTCTTTATCCAACCCCAGCTGCACCAGCAAGCCTTGGAGTTCTCTTTGGGGGTCTCCCAGGCTGCTGTCGGAAGTGTCCGTCTGTGATCCATCATCGCTGGACTCCTCCCCAAGGGCCTGTACAACCTCTAGTTGTCTCCCTCTCTGTCGCACCTTGGCCTTTCCCTTGCCCAGAACATACACCTGTGAGTCGAACTCAGCACATGTATGCGTATCCCTGAGCCAATCCTGCCCCAACAGAGCGTTGTAAGATCCCCTTGCGTCCACGCACCGTGCCGCTACAGTGGCACCAACCCCTTCCACTTCAGCACGCACCTTTCCACCCAGCTTATACACTGGTGCTGTCTGGCCGTTTGCCAACTCAATTCCAGGCAAAGTGGACACGATACGCAATCCCAACTTACTCAGACAGGTTCGATCAATCAAGGAGTGCGAAGACCCTGGGTCCAAGATGACCCGCTTCACATTCACCCCATTCAGGAAGCATTTGGCATGCACCCCGTTGTGTTCCCGCGCGGCTCACCCCAACGCCTCAACTTCCATCTCATCCGCAGGTTTAGGAGGCGGTACCGCTTTCTTCCGGGTGGTTCCCAACAGATCCCGAATCGCAAGTACAAGCTGGGTATACACTTCGCGCTTCGACAACCCCTTCATCATGCCCACTGGAATCACGCAAGTTTTCGCCACATGTTCCCACCACTCATCCTTCAAGACCGGTCGCGTACGCGGGCATCGCACTCCGTCACTCTTTTTGCGTTTCCTACCATTTGCCATTTGAGCTGCGCCTTCCCCTTCCCCATCACTCCAATCATCATCCGAATCTCTCGCGTCCGATTCTCCTTGCCCCCAACCTGGTTCCACCATTACTTCGTCATCGCCAGTGCGTGCGTGCATCAATATCATCTGCGCCAATCGGCCGTACCGCGGGCCACCTTGACCCAGTCCCCTTTCCCAACCGACTGGGGCATCGCGAGCAGGCACAGGATTCGGCCGCCCCCGCACACCGTCTCTCATTGGACCCGGTTCACGTAAAGTGTCCGGCGCGCGCTCCCGCGGAGGTGCTGACGCAGGTGGTAATCGCCTCCTGCCGGATTCCCCCTCCCCATCGCACTGCCACTGAAAGTGCCCCAGCCCCCCACACTTCCAACATTCGGGGCCCGGTCTCCCTTGTGGACGCACGCCTCGCAGTGCCTCCGCCGCCTCCCCCCGATTTCCCGCACGCCACGCTGGCTGCGAGCTCACTCCCACCGGGGCGGCGGCCGGCTGCGCGCGCGGATTGCCTGAGGCCGATGCGCCCTCCGCCGGCGCGGATGCCCGTCGGCCCCGCGCTCGCAATGCCCAATTTCCCAAGGCATCCAATAAGTCGCGACTCAGGTCCGCTGGCGGCGGTGCGACTTGCTCCAGCCCTGTCGCGTCCACCTCGCGCTCCGCACTTTCCTTACGCGTGGCGATCTCCGCGGCCTCCTCCAACGTTCCGAACCCCTGGAATCTCACTACCTCCCTCAACGGCGCTCGCAACCCGCTCACCCATGACCGTGTCCAAACCTCCTCCGTGGCTTCCTCAGAGCGCGCCACTAACTCTCGGAATCTACTCAGATAAGCCTTAACTCCCTCGCGCGGCCCCTGTTTCAAGGCCTTGAGTGCCGCATTGACACGATCCTCCACGTCCTCGTCTTGAAGCCGCGCGATGAACGCCATTTTGACATCGTCCCACGACCGATCTTCCCTTCCCAACCAGCGCGCCCGCGCACGCACCCACCGAGTGGCTTCCTCGGTAGTGCTGACCGTGAGTAGCGCAATCTTCTGCGCGTCCCCTTGGATACCGTTCGCCACACAGATTCCCTCGAAGTGCAGCAACCATCCCTCAACATCTTCCGATGGGTCTGTCCCCGAAAACGTGCGCGGCAGCAACTTCATGCTCGCGGACCCCGCGCGACCCCCGTTCACTTCTTAACTCCCTCCTCCAGACTGCTCACTTCCCTTTCCCTTGACTCTCACACGCTCAGCTTGACAGAATCGGTCCCCTCGCTCGCGAACGTTCGATCACTTTCGCCCAATGCCCAACATGCACCTTGCACTCTCGCCTCGTTTACCCACTCTCTACTTCCCTGCTCGGCCCCTCTGCCTCGCTGCTGATGCCGTTCTTGTTGAGCACTCGCGCTTGATCCACCTCCTCGTACGCGAGTCCCGGCGATGGAACCAGCTGTACGTCCTTGTTTATGCAAGGTAGCGGGGATCACGCGCGACGGACCAACGCTTTGCTCGCTCGTTGCGGAGCACACTCACACTCAGAACGCTTTGAGCCAGTGCCGTCCGCCGCAGGGCGTCGGGCGCAGAGGGGCATCCTTACACATGAGAGCATCCATTTATAGTACAAGTTCCTCGTTCGTTTTTACTTGCACCCTTGCTGGCTCCTTTTCTGTCTGTACTGCTTTCCCTTGCACTTCCCATTGAAACCCAGCATCCCAACTAACCCTTGCCAGCCTGTCCCACTTCCACCCACATGCTCTACCCCGTAGTCTCCCTTAGCCCTTCCTATTCCTGTCCGCAAAGCCGTACTAGCGCGAAGTCACCCCAAGCCCGGCCTAATTCCTATCCCAAAGCCCTCACTACTACCTTGACTACCATCCCACTGCATCCATCTTCTAAATGACTGCCGTTCCGACCTGCTGCAGGGCCAGGACTTCCTTTTTTCCTTACAATTGCAATGGCACAAAGTAGTTGTGATTGCTTCAATGGGTGTCAGATGGCATCACCAATGGCATTGTGTTCGCAACACCGCATAATGACCACCGTTTTACTGGGTGGATCACTTATGCATTGTGGTGTGCGACTTGTATGCACTTCAAGAATATTGTTTGTATGCAAGGCATTCTGAATCTATACAAAGAAAAGAAAAATGCTTTTAGAGCTCACAGAATTGTTTCTCATGTGATGGGACTTTTGTGAGCATCAATTTGATTGTTGTGGAAGACGCCATCCGTTTCAGAGATAAATGCTATGGCTAGGGTCGTGCTCACACCTGAAATATTTCTGCATTGCCATTGAGTGTATGGGCACCTTTAGTGTATGTGTTATAGAGTGGGCATCTCTGAAGTGCGGTATGGCTAGTTGATGATGGATGATGGTCCTTGTCACATGAAAAGGAAAGTTATGTGGGTGCAAGGAGATTCGAACGGTTCGGTTGCAGGGGTCGTTGCCACCGTCGGCAAGGCACTTCGCTATGGGAAGGGTGAACAAATATGTAAGCCCTAGGCATGTTGTGTGTTGTGGGACCTTGCGTCTGGCCGTGTACCAAGGCCGTTGAAGCATCGGCGATCGTGGATTCGCACTTCCCGTGTGCACTCCAAAGGGAGCCGTTTGAATTACATCAACGGCATTTCCTTCAACAATTGCCAAATGTCGTTTTACGCTAGTGAGGGGTTGGTCTTTTAATAGCAAGCTTGCAAGAAAGGCAAATCCATGCAGATGCCCAACTTCGTTGTTCCACTGTATGTGTGCATGTTTCTCAACTGATCGACACAAAACCTCCATAATGTGATTCGATGTGCATTTTTGGGCTGCATTAGAGATTGAACGCTCGAGGGCAGCTTCAATGGGCCACGACTTGCTCCCGCTGATCAACGGTAGTTCGACCTTCTGCTTGGAAACGATTTGCAACTGGCAAGGCAATCCAAAGGGGGTTGGTCTCCTTTTATTGACACTACCATGCGTTCATCACACTCCACAGTCGCAGTCCAGCCGTATCCAGCTCTACATCGTTCATTATGCGGCGCCCGTCCCCTCTCAGGCGATACGAGACGCCGATCGCGGAGTCGACGCGATCTCCCGATGGCTCAATTCAACTCGCGCAACAGGGGCATGGCGCCACTCCCATGCAAGTATGCGCCACCTGACAGCTCGGTCGGCTGTCAAACCTTGGGCCTGCCTATCAAAACCGCCGATATCTCACGCGTGCCACACCAACGGCCTCTGCCGGCGGACGCCCTGGCCCGCCGCGCAGGGAGCGACACAATCCCCTTCGAACCGCGACCCCACCTCATTACAACCGGACCAGAAAAATGTTCGGCGCAAAAGCTTTACAACCATACAAAAAAAATTTCGGCGCCTCCGCGTCTACGGCGCCTCCCCGCAACCCCACACCCCGCCACGTCACCCGCGGTTCGACGGGCTCCCTCACGCACGCCCCTTCAGCAAGGCAGTCAGTTCCTTCACGACCTGCGGCTTGTCACAGCCCCCCTTCTGGCACCGCCCGGTCATCTTGGGCCTCGCCTCGCAGAAGCACACGAAGTCCGCCGCCGCCTTGCCGCTCCCCACCTCCCCCACCTCGGCCCCCAGGTCCGCGCCCTCCCGCACCAGTACGCGCGCCGTGCCCAGGTTGCCCATCGCCGCCGCGTACCACAGCGGCGTGGTCCTGAAACCGTCCGCGTCCACCGCGACGGCATTGACGTTCACTCCGGCCTCGACCAGCATCTCCATCACCTCCTCGCTGTCGTCGCCGGGCCGGGCGCCCGCGGCAGCGTGCACCGGCACCTGCCCAAGTGTCCGACACCACTCATTTCCGAACATGACGGCATCAAGGTGATGCAGATCGTGGAGGCCATAGAGGTCATGGAGGTCATGAAGGTCATTTCTTGTTTAGGGTGTAAAATTCGGACGCTAGGTTCTTTAGGTGCCTGAAGTGCCCTCCAGCACCTTCATGATCCCTCCAGGACCTTTGCATCTGGTAGTCATGGTGGACAGATAGGAGTCTAGAATTCACGGCGGACCATGGTGCGACATGACCAGATTGAGTCGAGGCGTTAGGGGCCCACGCTACGCGCTGGGTGGGGAACATTACTATCATTTTATCTGGTATTAGCAATGGCAATTGGACAATCCTCGCACCTGGGTGTCCGCGTCCACGTGGTTGGGGTCCGCGCCTGCCGCCAGCAGGGCTTTCACGATCGGCGCGTGAGCCTCCTCGGCGGCGATCCACAGCGCGGAGTTGTCCTTGCTGTCGCCCTTGTCCACATCCAGGTCGGGGGAGGCCAGCAGCGCCTGCATGGTTCGAAGAGGATGAACAAACGGAATCGAACAAGCAAAGTGAAAGGAACTAAATCCATGTTGGGCACTAACATACACTTATCTATTCATGTGATTGTTCACGTACTATTTGTTCGTTCATTTGTTCAATTTCTATTTGTATATTCATCTATATATTTGCCTATTTATCATTCATTTCATCCATCCATTCAGTCATCGCTTCATAATTATTCATTTATTTACAAGTATATATGCTTATTTGCTCCCATTTACTCATTCAGTCACATGTTAATGCCCGTCACCACCTTGCACGCGCAGAGCACAGCCAGGTCCTTTCCTGCAGGTGAGCACGGGGCCCACACTGCTTCACCGACACATGCGTGTCACGCGATAATCACCACCGCCTGAACGCGTCGATGCAACCCACAAGCAGAGACAGCACCTGCGACACCGCCACCCGTCCTTCGTGGGCCGCCACGATCAGCGGCGTGGCCCTGTTGTGATCCGCCTTGTTCACATCGGCCCCCGAGACAATCAACTCTGTCGTTATCTCCGGGTGGTTGTGCTCCGCCGTGAGCACGAGGGGCGTTGACCCGTCGTACTCAGTGGCCAAGTCGAGGTCCGCGCCGGCGGCGATCATCACTTTTACGACTTCCTGGTAGCCCTTCCGCGACCCGATGTGCAGGGCGGTGCCCTCCTCGTCGCTGCCAGCCGCATTTGGATCGGCGCCGTCAGCAATCGCTTCACGGATCCCCTGCAAGTTCTCCCTGCGTGCTGCCTTCAGCAGCCTCTGCAATTGCGCACAATCAATGCGTCAATCCCACAGATATCTTGGGCCGCGTGACGCCTCACCCAGCGAAGCGACCCAATGTCGCTAAGATGCACACATGGGTGTGCATGTGCCCGACATCGCCTGCCAGGTACAACGGCGCCGCTTCGTATCGTCAAAGGCAATTTGGCAGCATTACAGCTGAGTTGCAATGTCAGTACACAACGGCAAGATTAATCGTCAACACAAACATACAAAAAGCACATCAAGCATACTGCCATCAAGTGCAATAAAAAGTGAATGATGTCAACCGCATCTTCCACTGCAACAAAGACGCTGATGCACATGACGCCGTCCTAAAGCTCTGCCATGCAAGCGTTGCAAAATGTTGCCTGTTCCTCTTGGCTATCACATTCACAGGCAACAAGCACATAGTCACGCATGACACCACTGACCATAGTGGCATTCACAACCGCATCTTCCACTGCAACAAAGACGCTGATGCACATGACGCCGTCCTAAAGCTCTGCCATGCAAGCGTTGCAAAATGTTGCCTGTTCCTCTTGGCTATCACATTCACAGGCAACAAGCACATAGTCACGCATGACACCACTGACCATAGTGGCATTCACAATGATTAGCTAATGAAAAGAATCTGGCCCAAAACGTGAAACACCACAATCCATGACAACGATGGTTAATGCCACTTCGCTGGCCTCCATTATCAGTGAACAGCCAGTGAATTCTCACTGAATTTTCACTGATAATAAGTTCCTCTGTCCCACAAACAGTGTCCCACTATATGCTACTGTTTTGCTGTTAAAGCATAATCAGACATTCGTGAATATTCTTCCACGCTCGTATGGTTATTGTGAGCACAGAAGATGGTGTACCAAATTCAAAACAACGAAAACTTCGTGAACTTGACTTGACTTGACGGGTGTGTGACTCCCAGGAACGTCAAAAAGGGCCAAACCTCAGATTTCGCAAAGCTGCCCGAACAATCCACGATGATAGGGGCCTTTTCCAGTCAGCTTGCCGTTAAAGAATTCGCAGCAACTTCGAATGCAAGTGCTGCACTCGTCCTGCAGGGGCTGGGGTCAGTGGAGTGGTGCTGAAGAAGGACTCCATCACCACAAAGACCTGGGGCAGCTTTGGGAAACCCGTGACATTTGGCCCTTTTGGACGCGACCCACGGGGGAGTCAAAACATAACGCTTATAACATGCGAACCATTGTAACGCATGGACAGGCGGCAATTGCCATGGCGAGTGAGCAGAAGAGAAAGCGGGCCTTGCCTTGTCGAGTGATTTTTGTTCCTTCCTTCCCACGGACTGCACAGGAAACAACCGATTCGCTGTCAGCCACAAAATCTCCAATCCAGATCAACCAGCACTCGAGTACAATCTCGAGCACACCCACTGCATTCTGCCAAAAACTGATCGCAGCAATCTTCCTTCGGCTTCTCCGTTTGAAATGTTGGAAACAGCAATTTGTGGCAAGAAGGTATTGTAATGACAAGTGAGGCAGTGCCATTTGAAAAATATTCTAATCTATTCTACCTTGTCAATTTAGAATCGCTGGTGCTAAAGCACACATACAGTAACGCACATTTCACTAGGGGCCTGCGCTGCGAATCTCCATGAAACCCCATTACAGCAGAACCATTTGGTAAGTTTCTGTGGAAAACCCAGACCAGCTGTCCAAAAATTGGCACAAGAATCAGACATAGAAAGCCCACATTGAGGGACCCATTCTGTCAGAAGGTGCGAAATGGCCACAAGAAAGTGCAGGGAGAGCAAACCTTGACATCGTCACCATCCGAGTCAATCACTCTTCGGATCCATTCCACGTATGTCGAGACCCTCGTGTAGACTCCAGGCAGCCTGGTCGACCCACAGGGACTGTCGTCATCTCCGAAGGATGTGATTCCTATCAAAACGTCTCCCTGGGGCACGCCCTTCGACACGTCGCCATTTGGCGCAAATGCGATCACCAGGGGGTCGCCGCCGCTGTCACCTGCACCATGGACATTCAAAAGATGGCTTGATTTTGATCGACAGCAGCTCTGGTGCTGCCACCTGGCTGTCGTGGACTTCACATGTTGCCTCCAGGGCTGGCAAGGTCAAATTCACACAGGTAGCAAACTCTAGTGCAACTACACGACACACAGTATTTGCCCTGAACATGTCCAAACTGAGGTACCACTTTCTCAATTCGAATTATGCACAGGTACAACCTGACTAAATTCCAACTGCTCTTCAAGGGCACAACAGGCGACCATGTCATTACGTCAACTGCTGTGCCCATTCTCGCTTGCTGCAAATGAACGCCATCCATAAAAAACAGTGCGCATCCCCTCACACACCACCTGCAGCACATTGCCATCGAACCAAAACTGGCCAGACACCAACCCATTAGATGTCAAAAC